TTATCTTATCTTATCTTATCTTATCTTATCATGTCTTATCTTATCTTGACCTGAAATTAAATCAGTTTGTTGCTGAAAATTTCAGAAAACACAACTTTAGCCACGATCATCTTCATTCTGGGCTCCGTCTGCTACCGTCTGTCCTGCTGGAATGTGATGTGATTTATATCATACAGGCGTGATGGAGTGCGTTCAATCCAATAGGAAGTCAGAATGGTTTATATTTACTCTTCTCATCCAGTCACAATCAAATTCATTCTATCCATGGGCTCCATGTATCTGGATTGATTTCTATTTATTTATTAATTTTTTTCTGAGCAATGAAAAGATGGAATAAAACAAGTCAAAGTTAAATAGAAATTAAATACTGTTTGCATTTTTAAAAAGTAAGGAGTAGTAAGTACAGATAATTGAATTAAAAAGTAAGGAGTAGGAGTAAAAAGTAGTCTGAAAAATAATTACTCCACTAAAGTATAAATAACCAAAAATTCTACTTAAGTAAAGTAACAAAGTATTTGTACTTAGTTACTTGACACCTCTGCTGCCCATGCTGCCAAAAGCACCAAAACCTGGTATGATGCCCATGCCATCACAGTGCTTGACCGGCCAGCCAACTCGCCGGACCTGAACCCCTTTGAGAATCTGTGGGGTATTCTCAAGAGGAACATGAGGGGCACCAGACTAGCCTGGTAAAAACCAGACCCTTGTCCTTCACTTCAAAATGTCAAAGTTGTTGTTCAAAACTCCACCTTCTGTTTGCTGATTGGCCCTGGTGAAATAAACTACAAGCAGACACTGTGCAGAATATCGACGTTCTGCTCTCTGATTGGCTCGGACGAAATTCTCCCAAAGAAATCCTTGTCTATGGGAAAAATCCCAGATGGAGCACTGAAGGGAAACTAGAATTGAGTGGAACTGCGTAGGAAGGCAAGGACCAGGCTAGCACCAGACCCAACAGCAAAGAAAAGCTGGCAGCAAGCATCAAGGAAATCTGGGCTTCCATAGCTTCCAGGCAATGCCACAGGCTGATGCCTCAACGCCACGTCACATCAAGGCAGCGATTAAGGCAAAAGGATTCCCAACCATGTTTAGCATTGATGCAATCCTAATTTATTTCTTTTTTCTTCAAAAAAAACTGAGAGGTAGTTTGGGCTGAATTCTTCACAGTATTCAAATTTTTTGAATTCCTGTTTTCGTGGGTTTCATGAGCTGGAAGGTCAAATTATGTAAATATAAACAAAGACAGACTTGAAATCATTTAAGCTGTGAGCCCTGAATTTATAACCTATGAAAATTTAACTTTTGAATATTATGGAAATTAAACTAATTTTCAATGATGGATACTGTATTTTATTTTAAAGAATAGTTCATGCATTTTAAAGTGAGTTTCTATGAAGGGGATATGAACAATGAGTATTGACAAGTTAATTTTGCTGTCTTAAATCTTGTCTAATTAAAAAATATAGCACTTCATGAAATTGCTGTTTCATAAAAATGATTTTGCGTTAGATATTTCATTAAAAATGTAATTTAAATTCTTACCAGAAGTTCCTCAGCCTACATTTTCCTGTTGCTGTTCTACAGAGATACAGTAAAAATGAACATGACTTTTTAAATATCTGTGTAGAAAAATGGCGATGGTGTAAAGGTCTATGACATGAAATGACTTATGAAACTTAGAAAATGGCTGCAGTCCATTTGGTTTTGATTTTGACCGCCCTGAACATGAACTCTTCTTCTTGTAACTGAAGCTGTTCAAATTGTAGCTATTTGTAGAATCATTTCTGCTTTAGCCCTTCAAACGTTGGGAGCACAATTAGAGTAATTTTATTACTTTTTTGTTTTATGTCACATCTGGCTAGTTTTTTTAAAGGATGACAAATCCTTTTTAGTTCAGTTAGTTTATTCATTTCTTTAAAAAAACAAAACAAATTCAACATACAACAAAAATTCAAATCATAAATTAAATGAAAGATAGCAGAAGATGAAAAAATCTTACATCTGCCCCTTTTTCTCAAATAAATAGTACATAAATATTTTTACAATCTAGAGTGTTTGTTTTAATGATAAAACTGTCCCAGAGATCTTCAAAATACATGTTTTCCCTTTTGTTCAAATTGCCTTTTATTGCACTGCTTTTCTGAGATACTGGATTGAATAGAAGCGAGCCAAGAAACAACAAAATGCCCAGGAGTAATGCCAGTGACTGCCTCGTCTCATCTGTTCAGTATGAGGCAAGCATTTTGGCTGCCAAGTTTATGGGTGGTGGCTCAGGCAGTGGGCCTAACCATGTCTCAGCACGATCACTTACCAAAGTTCACAAAAAAAAATCCTAACTTAGAATGATACACTGGCACTGCTGACAAGGTATCACTTTCTGCTTCACCTCTACACTGAAACCAAACTGTTTTGGGCTTWATTTCTCTCTATGATAGCTCCACTTTAGAGCTCTGTTTGACTGCCATGTATACTTCTGTAGCTGCAGAGGGGGTCCAGCCTGTCGCCTCCATCAGTCCCTCAGTGCTAAATGTCCAGCAGGGCCAACGAGCAGAGCTTCGCTGCAAAGTGACTGGAAACCCAACACCATCTATTGAATGGATTGGTATGACAACTCAGTGTTTCTGCTTTGTTGTTTACTTCATTCCTTGTTGGGAAATACGCTGTCGTTGTGATGAACAGATGGTTCCCTTATGTACAGTCAAATTTGTGAAGCTCCAATGATAATTATGTGAGAAAGAAATCTGTGACGAAATGCAAATATGTGATTGTTCTAGGAGGCCCTGGGAACAAAATGAGTTCCAGAGCTGTGGTAAGGAATGGCATCCTGCTGTTCACAGCTGTGGACCCGGCTGATGAGGGGGAATACTTGTGCAAGGCCCTCAACACTCACGGCGAGCACACAGCACGGGCGTTCATCTATGTCCAAAGTATGCTCTGTGATTATGAGTGGGAGTGTGTGAGTGTTAAATGTTGTAGACCAGAAAGCTGTGTTCTTTTACAAACTCTAGGGTTGATGGGTAGGATTTACTGGATGAAAATATGCCTAATTTAACATGAGTCAACCTGCTTTTTCCTGAATAGCAGGAGAAAGGTACAGAGGGTTGAAAAATATTCACCATTTTAATAATTTTTTTTTAAAAAAAAAAATAGCAGGAGAAAGGTACAGAGGGTTGAAAAATATTCACCATTTTAATAATTTTTTTTTTTACCTTACAGCCTGAAATTTAAATGAATTTTAATCTAATTATAAGTAATAAATCTATACAAAATACTCCAAGTTAAAAGGGTAAGTTGGGGAGCTTTTGGTTTTAATAATTCTGAAAAATGTATAACATTAAAAAGTGGACAGGGAAGACATAATAAATGATAATTGATGGATTTGAGAAGTTCTTCTGCAGAGATGGGAGTCCAGTGGAACCTTATAGGTTGCATACTACACAGAGCTGGGCTTACTGGAAGAGCTGCCAGGAAAAAAAGCCATTGATTAAAGAAAAAGTAAAGAATGTCCTATTTGGTATTTCATCTCCAAACATGTGGAAAAAAGTGTGTGATAAGATAAAACTAAAATAAAACGTTTTGGTCACCACATATCTGGCACAAACCTAAAGGCCCTGTCACACTAAAYTGTRTTAGACAACATCTGCCAGCTTATGACATGTTTGACACTAACGATGTCTAAACTGAAGGTGCAGTTAAAATAAATAATTGAAGCCTTTTTTGGACCTATATATACTGTTACAGAGCCCACCAGGGGACATGGGGGGATTTTTTTCTTTTGCGTTCCCACGCAATACCTTTACGTTACCTCACAATACTTTTGCGTTACCTCGCAATTTTGTTTTGTGTTCCCACGCAAAAGTTTGATTTGTATATGAACTCAAATAAATCAGACTTTTAATTTGAAATACCCGGTTACCAAAACAGGATGTGTCGCCACAAGTTCGTGAAATTGGCATTGATGTTGCGTGGCTGCACTGTGTTAAAATATCGGCATATAACATACTTCCATGCGTGGCTGTGTGATATATTCGTTCTGAAGATGAATTAAAGCAGTAGGCTTACTCGCTAATGGTAAACATGTGAGTTTGTTAATAAACCGGCAGGCACAACAGTGGTAAATGACTTTTGCGAGGGAACACAAAAGGTATTGCGAGGTAACGCAATACTTTTGAGTGGGAACACAAAAAGAAAAAATATCCCCCATGTCCCCTCGCGGGCTCCGTATACTGTACAGTTAACTATTAGATCAAATATAAAACTGAGTAAAAATTTCACAAGTCCACATAAGCTGACTAAAATGTTAGTGTGACAGAGTCTTAACACCTAAAATCATTCTGAGAAAACCATTTTCACAGTGAAGCATGGTGATGGCAGTATCATAGTGTGGATATGTTTTTCATCAATGAGGACTGGGAAACTGGTCACAATTAAAAKAATGCTGGATGAACCAAAGTATGGAGAGACTCTTGAGAGAAATGTGTTTGAGTTTGTTTTCCATATATGAGACTGGGACGTGGGTTCATCTACAGCCAAGACAATGACCTAAACATACAGCTGAAGCATTAGTTTCATAAAACATTTTGTATTCAGTGTCCTGGAATGACCCAGTAATGTCCATCTGACAATCTCTGGTTTGATTTAAATATTGTTGGACCGTAATGGAAAAGGGTTGCTTGGATCGCTGTTTAAATTGTTATTTATTTGTTTTTACTAAAAACAAGTTTTCATTTCCCTTTTCACTTAGTAATTTGGATTCTTTTGTGCAGATTTGATATTGATAATCAAATAAAAATTCATGTAAATTCCAGGTTGTAAAGGGACAAATATAATTCCACTGTGTATATATCAATGGAGAAGGAGTATAGTAGTGCAGTACAGCTATTAGGTTCATTACAAAATTGTTACATTTTTCTTAAAAGCTGACAAGCCTGTTATATTATGGTGACAAATAATCACATCACGTTTTGTTTAATTAGAATCGAACCCCAGTGGCCTTGGCACGGTACCTCAAGTCCAAGTCAGTCCTCAAAATGTTGAAATCCATGAAGGYGAAACATTGAGGTTGTACTGCAGAGCGTCTGGATCGCCTACACCAAAACTCACCTGGGTGAAAAATGGAGGACAAATCCCTCCACAGGTGAGACATGATACACAATATTCAAAATGACTGATTGAGAACCTAATCTTACCTTGATTGTTGTTCCAAATGTTTAGATAACTTTAGAAAAAAGCATCTGTTAAATGTCAGATAAACTGTATTTACAATTGCCTGTGCTATATCTCTGTCTACAGCTAAGGGTATGTCCAATGCCTTTGGTATTTTCTCAGACTTTTTCAGGATTTTGACCATTTACCTTGTTTGTCTCCTCCCTCCTTTTTTGATCCTGTCCTGTTCTGCCATGTGCTCAGGCCATTCCCTCTCACGGTTTCCATCAGTTTAAAAGCAACAGTCTCGATGTGTTACAAAGACATATTGAGGATCTGCAGGTCTGTCCATCTGTCTGCTGTCTGTCTGTCCTGTCACATAGTTCACGTTCATCTAACCTCGTCTTTACATCCTGTCCACCTAGATGCATGTCCAAATGTGTCCTTGATWCATGCTTTGTAATTTGTGTTAATGTCCCACAGTWACTCACTTTGTCCAAACACAGCATGTAGGGTCTGACTGACCCCCTACAYGCTGTGTTTGTGTTGTTCCATAGTGTCTTGTTCTGTGCCAAATCARGCCAGCCTCACTTAGCTTCAAGTTGAATTCCATTATTTCACTGTGTGTATTAATAGCACTAAATATACAGTAGTAGGTCCTGCAGGTATTTTGGATGCTGTATGACACTGTATGACACAACTRGAGACGTTTTGTACTGCTCTGGTTCCTGTGCTGTCCTGAGTTGAAGCAAAGCTTCAGGACCTTTTTATTTCTGCCTCACAGAGCCTCTGCGTCATGTCAGCCTTTACCATGGGGAGCTGGGCCCTGCAGTTCAGACACACACTGAGGTTTAGCCCACCTTGATCACTGCTCGGTTTAGAACCCCTCATGGATGACTGAACTGCAGCTAAGCAGTTTTATCTGTGGATGCACCAAACTCCCCCTCCCTTTGACCCCCTACTCTGAATAGGTTATAAACAATTAATCCCTCACTTGTTGTAATTAGCTCTTCTTATGACCTCGTTTTAGAGACATTGGGCCTCATGCAAGAACATGTTCGTATTCTTATCCTAAATTTCTCTTACTTTGTTCGTACGAAGGGTTCGTACGAACATGTCACGTCAGATTCAACAAACTCTTCTGTCTTCAGGAAAAGTGTGTAAATGAACTGCGTAAATTACACCTGTTCTATCCAGCTGCTCGTGCACGCGAGAGGAGATTAGCATACTTACCACCCCAAAAACACCATATAAGGCTATGTTTCCTGCCTCAGATATCA